TAAGATATAAAGATGAATAAAGATAAATATATTTGTGTAATTGATCCTACAGATATTCCACCATAATGAAAACTCTTTAGGCTCCTAAAAATAAGAGATGTACAGGCCATATTCTTTAAATGGGATCCACTATAAACAGAATAAAACAGCAAAAATAAACCTAGAGGAAAAAAAATAGGATTATAAATATAGAATGAGATGTAAGTACTGAAATTTAAAATTATAGTACTATTGTGCATAGTTATATGTACATAATAATGAAAATCTTTTGACTGGTTTTTCTGAAAAAATACAAAATTCCAAAATTGACTCAAGAAAAATTAAAAAGCTAAATGGACTGATAATTATGGCAGAAATACTTGTTAGCATTATGTCCAAATTGTTTTATAGTGATTCATTTTAAACTTTAAAAGACAAATCTATGCTGACAATATAGAAAACATGGAATTCTACTCAAGTATTTTTTTTAATATTAGTATTCTGATATTAAAACATGACCCAGATAGCCAAATAAAAGGAAAACTATAGATTTCTGGAATCAGCATTTATCCTGCCCTTCTAAACAGCCCCTGGCCAATTCTTTTCACTTAATTTCTGAATTTCAGCAAACTCTCAGCTGGTCAGTTTTTCCAGGCACTCCAGACCTTCAGTTGGTCTTCTAGGAAATGGTTACTCATTTTCTCAGTCTCTATGACTTTGTCACTCTTTGTCTCTGACCTTGGCAGGAGGGTCCCAAGTTTCTCATCTAAGAGGTCCCTCACCCTCACCATGCATTTTGTCAGCCTTCTCACACAGGTTAACAACCACATGTCCCCATGTCGAATCTAAGGCTCAATGTTGAGTGTATCTCAAAATTTACTTTTATAGTCAATAAACTGGGATGCAGAAAACAAATCCACTTTACATACTCCCCTTCAGTTGCTCTTAGTCATAGAAATGGCTTTGAACTTGAGTCATTTAGATTTCCAGCAAGTTTCAGTAACCCAATTTAATTGGTTAGAACAAGGGGCATACTTAAAGCAGGTAGAAATTGTTTTACAAAGAAAGTGGAGGGAGAAAAATGTCTAAACTTCTTTTATCATGATCCAGACTGACTTAAAACATTGATTTCTGTATTCATTCTTGGCCAGTTATACTGCAGAAATCCCAAAGTCATAGTGGCTAACAACAAGGGTTTGTTTCTCACTCAAATTGCATGCCCTTCATGGGTTAGCTCTATGTTGTATTTATTCCAGGACTCAGGAGGAAGAATCAGCCCCTATTTGGAGTCTATGTTTTTGTTGCAGGAGGAAAAGAGAAATGGCAGAATACACAATGGCTTTTGAGACTTTTGCCACTTTCAGTCTCTTTTAATTGGTCAAAGACTGATGTCAATGGGCAGAGAGATTCTCTCACAGGGAGGGGAAACAAATAATTGGAAATAATATGACCTGTTACAGCCCACATTCTTGCTCATAAGTATTTATTTCCTTCCTTTCAGCCATAAAACATACTCATCATCTCTCCAAGGGAGACACCCTAAAAGTCCCATCCAACTACAGCATAAGTCTCAAGATCTAGAATCTCATGAGATATATCAAATTCAGGTGCAGCTCCTCTTGATCTGGAGAAATATGAACTAAAAAGACAAATTAACCATCCCTCCCACACATACACGTGTGCTTGAGCACACACACACTCACGTATAGTGGTAGAACAGGGTCAGGCTGACCACAAAATCATTCCTATCCAACAAGAAGAAAAATGGGAGATACATAGCAGTGTAAGACTCAGATCAATTCTGAAATCCTGTTGAACAGACCTTGGGATGAGGAATATCCCTTGATCAGACCCTAGTTCTGCATCCTGGAAATTGCTCTTGATTTCATTGCATGATTTCACGTATCATCCCCCACTTCACCACCTGGGGATCCAGCCTTTTCCACTCCTGATACTCATCTAATGAGGGCATTGGAAAATATGTCTTTCTTGGGGTCTGTTCGGCTTTTCTTCATAATGGCTTGTGCTCGCAGAAGACTGGGAGCCCAAAGATCACTTTCAGTTTTGAAGAGTCATAGAATCCCAGCCTGTTGATTCTTGGCCAGTACAGCTCTCTCAAAAACTTGGTCATATTTTTATCTATTTGATTCCAAGTAGTTTATGCTAATAGCCACATCCACAATTAGTTTTGAAATATACCACTGTTTCAACTTAATAACCAGCTGACTTGGAGAGTCACGTACCACATTCAGAGGTTTTAACAGGACATTTGATTTGTTTTAATTGGTCTGTACCCTTATTTAAAGCATTTCTCAATTTTATCTCTTCCTAGTTGGAGGTGAGAAACATCTGCTCTTTCCTACAAGTCCAGGAATTTCTGAGTTGCCTCTGTTTCTGACTTGCAAACCAATCAGTTCTTTTCTGAGCTCTCTTTCTTGCAGCACCCTGTCAGATTCAACCAGCTGCAACAGAATGTGCTGTTTCCCCAATTGTTTCCCAAAGCCACGAAGTCATTCAATATATTCTGTCCTACAAGTTATCACAGACCATGATTTTACCAAATTTGCACTACTGCATACTAAGGGTTGTTGTCTTTCCAACTTCCAGTAATGGTTTTATTTTGCACTTCCTGGCGCTAGAAGCCATACATCATATTTTAGAATGTCTATAATGGTGGCCTCTCATTTCTATGCACTAATTTCTGTATCGTTGACAAAAAGCAAGTTACACTATGGTGGCAAAGAAGCCCAAAGTTTCCATGGCTGATAACAACAAAGGACATTGCTTACATTATTTTTCTTTTATCAGATATCTGCAGGTATTTTCCACTTTATCCTCATTCTGGAACCCAGACAGAAGGAACAGCCCCTATGTATGGCCTGCTATTCTCATGGCAGAGGGAAAAGAACAAATGATAGACCACACAAGGGCTCTTATAGCTTTTTATTGGAGGTGACATATGTGACTTCTACTCACATTTCACTGGCTAAGAAAGTGACACAACAAAATCTGATAGAAACAAATAGGAGAGCATAATACTGCCATTAGGAGGGGAAGTACCTAACTACCTAACTGGGATTGCTACACTTCCTCTTCAGCTTTTCTTTCTTACAAACACGGCTTTGAACTTGCATTTATCTTGTTTAAACAAAATACATACTTAAATCAAGATGGGAATTGCTGGCTTCTTGAGGGACTACAGCAATTTTAGAGACATCTGCATTGTCTGAAGAGTGATGCAGCTCCAAAGTGCACGAGGGGAGGAGGGGTGACAACAGATGGCTGGACAAGTAGGAAACCAAACTAGCAGGTGGCATTTTTTTTCTCCAAAAGTCTCAATTGAGGGAGATGTGTTGCACTCATTGTATTCCCAATAAGTTCTTGCAAGTTCACAAGCATGCATGGAGCTGAACATGATGGAAAACTGCTCATCTGATGTCCTGAAAAGCTGGGACCAGTTTCCATAGAGGAGCTTTAGGGCTCGCCGGTCAGGCCCCAAGCAGAGTTCTCTCCCCTCTCACTCCTCTTTATCTCCACAGTTCGACATGCAAAGGATCACTCTGGAGGAGCTGAAGCACATCCTCTATCATGCATTCCGGGACCACTTGACAATGAAGGACATTGAGAACATCATCATCAATGAGGAGGAAAGCCTGAACGATACCTCAGGGAACTGCCAGACAGAGTTTGAAGGAGGTAGGTACCCTGCTCCTGCTTTCTTCCTGGTCTGGGACAGGCCAACACCTCCATATCCTCTGAATGAAAAATGTGTTATAGTCTCCTGGGCATGGAAGCCAAGAATCCAGGACTGAGGTTAAATGATCCTTTTCACAAAGATGTACCTTCTTTTTTTTTTGTATTTTTTTCCCCAAAGTTTGCATTTTTGCAAAACCTCCGTTGAGCCTGTCCTTCCTCCGGTGACTCTCTAAGGTCTGTCACTAGGTGTGTGGCTTTTACCTAGTGGGGGCTGCACAGGTAGTAGAAAGAGTCTGTTTAGACTGTCAGTAAGTCTGGGTCAAGTCCAGTGGCTAATTGTGTGATTTGGGCAAGAGGTGTATCATCTGAGTGTGTTCCCTCATCTATAAACATCAAGAAAATTACACCGACTTCACAGGGTCTGGAGGCATGGATCACCTCTATGTTATGCTCCCCAAAGAGCTCTATTCCTGAGAGGACTCTCGTGAACTTAACCACATAATTACAGAAGAAATAAGGTCATCCTGGGGCCAGAAAGGGGACCCATGAGAAGCCATTTTTCTTGGGCTCGTGAAAGAAACCTTAAGGAAAAAAATAAACGAAAAACACATCAGCCTATCTTATCCCCTAATCAATAGGGAGTTCCAGGGAAGCAAAATAATCGAATCGGAATCCCTCTTTCCATTTGAAACTCAGAGCAGCTTTAATAGCTCTGACACATAGAATTTTTTAAATTACATTAAAGCAGCACAGCAGACTACCAAGCAATTTTTAACTAGTTCAATGCTGAGGTTTCTTAAAGAGGTCAAACTATTTTTTTCTATTCTTTGTTTCTGAACATACTCAGAAGTCAATATATACAGATGGTAAGCTATATATATTGTTGGTATATACAAGTCAATGGATACAGATGGTAAGCTGTCACATAGACACCAGAATGGCATTTGGCTTCCTTGTCTTAGAACTGCCACATTAGAGCTGGCCAAGCCCTGGCGGGGAGGCTACTCGGGGCTGAACTAGTCCAGGCGGCCACAGCGCTGTCTGGGCTGCAATGCTGTATCAGTGTGCAGGATCAGAGGCCAGGACAAGAGGAAACAGTAGATGGCTTATACTCCAAGGTGACAAACTAAATAACTCAAGCCAGAGAAATAGGGAGTGGTGGGGACTGGGGTAACCTCGAGAGCAATGCCCCCCAGTAAAGGCATTCAAATTTAAAATTTTCAAAGGTGCTGTGTGCAGCCAACAGAACCCAGCTGTGGTCCAGAAGCTGCCTTGGCCTCCCTCCTTGTGACCTGGGCCATAGCATCAATGACCGTACGTGGAGTTGGGGCCGCACAGAACACATAGGGCAGATGGTCACAGCCAACTCATTTCTAGCCGGACAGGCAGGGGGATTGGGAGGGCAAATAGGGGTGAGTTGGGCAGGGATTGGGCTGAAGGTTGGGGGAACAGCAGGCCTGGACTCCCCGTTTCATCCCATTTCTAGCTGACATACATGTGCTCAAACAATGGAAGCATTTGGGGTGCCAGCCCTCCATTGTCAGCAACCATTCTTGAGATAGAAAGAAAGTATTTCTGGGCATCTCATCTTCCACAAGAGCCTTTGTTTGTGGATCAGTGTTTTGTTCAGAGAAATGTCACAAGTCTTAGAAATTTGAGGAAGGTCAGACTACACTGGGAAGTAATCTGAATTTTAAGTAATGTCTTTATAACTCAAAAGCTCATATAATAATGAAATAAATCACTGACAAAGGGGTTTCCAAATAGAAGTCTTACTGGGTCCGCTTTAATGATTCATACATATAATACTGAGAACAGCTATCATTTCTGTCATTTGGGGGGTAAATGATAAGTACCAGGCACTACTAAATGCTTTCAAATTCATGATCTTATTTAACAAGAGAAACATTATTGGCACACTGTTTTTTGGATGAGCTCTGCAACCTTCATTACATAACGCCCTTTGCATATTTTTATGTCAGAGAGTTTTGTTTGTTTGTTTTAATATTTTGTCAGCACTGTTTGGCCCCAAACGTAAGCTCATTTGTTTGTGTTCAGGTTTAAGATTTTTCCAGTCTCAGATATGGCCCAAGTCACAGGTGCATACATTTAAGTCCACAGGCCTCTGTATGTTCAGGAGAGGGCCTCCCTGACTATTTTGGGCAAAGGTGTCTAGGAAGAGAGGATGAACAGGGCCTGAGTTCACCCCTGGTGCCCTCGTACTGAGAGTCCTGTGGCTGACCTTGGCCTTCTCCCTTCCGTCCTTCTGCCACACCTACTGCCCACAAACAGGGGCCTGTTGGCATTTTGAACTTCTCCCTGCTCCTACCACAGTCTGATTACACAGTTCCATGGCTCATGCCTCCTAAACCTCCTCACCCTCCTCTCAGCCTTTGGCCCTCCCTGTCCCCCAAGCTGTCACTCTGTGCTGTCTTCTCTCGCCCTGTCCAGCCACTTCAGCCAGCCCTCGCTGACATCTTGAATCCCTCACCCACCGATCAGCTTCCACTAGGCCAGTTCCTGGTAAATCCAGCATCTAACTCTGAGGGCACAATTGGTTTCCCGTGTTTCTTTCAAGCAATGGGAGGCTTTTCTTGTCAAATCTCATCTACTTCACAACCTACACTGACCAAGGAGAGGGAAGGAAGTGGGCGGGGCATTTTCCCCAGACTCCAGAGCCCACTCAGGCCACCCTCATCCTTGCTGCTCCCCACCCAGGAAGCCCTTTCCTCCTGCTCTTGTTGGAGCGTGGCTGCGGCAAGTGCATACATACATGCTGATTAGCTCTCCTAGAGAGCTTGTGATCCATGGGCATTAGAAATCCTGCCCTATTCAGTGTCAGAAGAAGGAATCGATGATGAACAAAAAGTTAAAGGGGCAGGAGGTCTTTGTCTTTAAAAGGGGAAAAGGCACATCTATCTATCTCTGAGCAAGGAAGGAGGAGATGGTCCATGAAACAGAGGCGGAGTTGAAATAAGCCCACATCAGATGGCTTTGAGGTCAGCAAAGCTGGAGTGAAGATGGAGCTTCCAGAGTGTGGCAAGTGTTTGAAAACGCTGCTGTGGGCAACCAGTGTGACACGAGTCGGTTAGAAATTAATAGGAGGATTTCCAAATGTCATCAGCATCATTTTATGTCAGTTGTTATACTTTTCACTTTTATAAATCTTGGGTCTAACACTTTTACAAAGCTGTTCAGATTCTGTCCATTAAGTCAGGAAATGTCAATTATTTCCTTCACGTGAATGGAAGAATAAAGAACACAGAAAAAGACCAGGAGCCCATGGGGTGTGTAGCTCTTGATGGAGAGGTTTTTGGGAGGAGAGGGGTTGTCCTCCTATTAGTTTTTATTTTGGCTTGATTTTGTTTTCTCTATTTGTTTGATTTTTAGGTCAACACAAACAACAAATACACATAAACACAGCCTCTTGCACATTCCAATCTGCCTTATCTTTATGTGATCATAAACAAGCAGCATTTTTTCCCTTCTCTCCTAAGGAATGGACAAGAGGAGATAGGATGAAATTCCAAGATACATATAAGGAAAGGTGTCCTCACTCCTTCAGGAAACCCTGAATTGGGAGCTCACATCATGCATGGAACCCATTTTCCTAGAGCCCCCGAAAGAAGTCATCTACACAAACCCTTATGAAGGCAGGGAGGAGACTAAAAGAATGTAATTCCATGGTTTCCTGCATTCACACCTGGTTTCTGGGAGGGAAGTTATTCAGACTGAGTCAGGCACTGAACAGGTGCTGGGTGCTTTGGGCATGAGGTCATTTAACCCAACTGAGTCAGGGACTCTCTGACATTACCTGCAATTAGAGGGCTACACATCCCCATTGAGATATTTGGCTCGAAGTAGGACTTTCAGGCAACCCCAATCCCTCAGATCTTTTTGAATTCCCTTATTAAGATAACTTATGCTCCACTTAGGTATTAGTTTTCAATACTTGTGTTCTAATTATTTGGAAAAACAAATAGGTCCGCATCTGCCCCAATGGGTTAGATACAAAATTATATGACTACCCATGACCCCATTCATCATCCATGCTACATAAGAGAGTTCTGAGATGTTTTGATTCAGTTCAACCACTTGTAAACACCAGACATTTTGTTTTTGGTGAACATAAGCTCAGTGACATTGGGAGACAAATTTGTATTTTATTATTTGGTTCCAGTCGCTGACATATGTGGAATTGAGAGGTCTTGTGGTTGAATTATCTATTTGCCTGTCACCAGATCCTTAAGGGTGCTTGTGACAACTTAAACTACAGAGGGGGCCCCAAAAATGTATATACACTTTAAGAAAGGAAAAAAAACTGTATTACAATTGTAATACTCAATATATACCGATAACAAAAGATGAATACAAGTCACGTTTTACTTCTGCAATTACAAGAGGTGTTCAAAGTGGTAACCATCAGTGTAATTTTAATGCAGTTTTTTCCTTTCTTAAACTGTGTATACATTTCTTTGACACCCTCTGTATATATTAAGTTTGGTGGTGCTTGCCTCCAGTGATTACTGTGTAATCCCTATTGATAACAGTCCAGCAGGAAAGAGGTGGAAGAAAACTGCTCGGGATGCCTGCTTAGTGCTGGTCATTTGCTAACACGTTCCACTGACCTATCAGTACAGCCAAGAGATAAGTTCTGTGGCCCCTGTGGTACAGATGAGAAAACTTAGGCTCAGCAAGGTGATTTGTCCAAAGTTAAATAGCAAGTCAGGATTTGAACCCAGGTCCACCTGATAAAGCCCTGCCCTGGCCTCTCATTTGTTTGGGTTAGTTCCTTGGGAGTAAACATTACAAAGGCTCGTTATAGAATGGAGCTTCTCATCCTTACTAATTTTTCATTTCATTGCCAATGAAATCATTATATTTGGAAATTGAGTGGAAGGCAGCAAGATTTCTGTGTGAGGCCTTTCAAGACACATACCCCGTGCTGTCCCTAAATGGAATACTAGCTGTCAGATTTTTCTAGACATTCTGACAACATG